AACGAGACTGTCAGAAGTGTGCTAAAGCTTGCATGTCTAAGTTTAGATCGAGCTATTTCACAAAAAGAAAACGCAAGTGTGTATTCTGCTAGTTGCAACAATATAATACCTCTTTACTGTACACTTACATAGATTTTGATATTCTTGCTAATTGAATGATTTTCAATTATATTCATTTCCAGCGTTGATTCTAATGACGACTATGAGCATGGAAATCAAACACAGTTTCGTTGTAACAACAATCATAGCATGTTGTACATCATTTTAAAGAAAGCAACCACCGGATTTTTATTCTAAAATTAGAATAATTAGTAATTGTTCAATGAAACAGAACTGTGTATATTAGTGCTGTCAAACAATATGAATATTTAATCTTGATTAATCACAAACTTAATTTAGTTTGATCGTTTTTAGCACCTTTTTCTCTGTTCTTAATATCCCTTAATTTGGATTGAAAACCAAAATAACTATAGCTTAAACAGTTAGGCTTTGGTAGTGGACTTGAGATACTGTAGTAGTGATTCCTGATGGACGTCCAGTAATCTGCCGTAAGCGCGCCTGCTTCCCTGTAATTTACTATATTGAGACTTTAAGACCAAGTATCATTGAGCCAAACTTCAGCCGTGCCATCTTTTACTGAACAGCTTAGTATCACACTAGCGCACTGAACAAGGTAAGAGTGGACCCAACCAAGTATGACAGGTCCAGAGGGACAATCCCTGACATAGCACGGGTCTTTTGAAACAGAAAGCCTCGCACAGAGTTCAGGGCTGATCTCAGACATGTTGGCAGCTCTTGGGGCATGACCAAAATGACTTTGATACTCCTGATCTATAGATATTGAACTAGATACAAGACACTTTTGGGAATCAAAATAAATGAATAAGCGCCATAAGTTAATACAACTTTTCAAAACTACTGATAGTTAGAATCCTTCTGCCAATATCTTTTTTCAACAACTGATTCCATATTTCAAAGTTCGTTTTTCACTTGTAATCAGACATAAAATATTGAAAAGACTGTTCCAGAATTGAACCCAGGACCTCGAGGCTTGAGTACTCTCCCTTGTGCCACTTTGCATGCTTATTTTGTGTCTTCCACATTACTGTGCACAAAATCAAACAGCCTAATGGACTTTGTTGATTTGCATCCACTCGAAGGGATAAACTACTCTCATAATTAAACAGAGATGGCAGATCTGGAAATGTCACGTCCTCAAACAGCCGCTGAATCACAGTGTGGCGCTTGTGTCTGGAGAGCATCTTCTGGTCTCTTCCTCAAAACTGTTGCATATTCCCTTTTGTAGAGTTGTTGAGCAAGACACTTCACCCCCAACCATCTCAACTATAGTTCTAGGACTGAAGGAATAACTGTTGTATTCAAAGTTATTAGTTAAAGAAAAAATATTTACAATTTACTGACTCTTGTCATTTCACTTGTCAAGTGAAAAGTAACAAATGCTTTCCGCCTGTAACTCGCTATGTTACCACCAGAGGGAGGAGTATAATTTGTAAAACTAATTCATGGACAATACTTTTGTTTTAAAAGGCAGCCAAAAACTGCTTTGAGCGTGATGTCATAGTGATAAACATGACATCATATTACACTCTACTCTACTCCCTTAAATAGAAGGGGCGGAGCTACATGTTTATTCTAAAGGTTCATGATATTTGTATGAATGGGTGTAATAACAACTCCAGGTCTGTATTTTGACGAGGAAACAATGTTGTAACATGGTTTATAACTCAATAAAGTCAATTTTGTATAGACTTTCAGGAATCATGTCCGCAGCTGAATCCTAATCCTCTTCTCTCAATGATTCCTATGCATTAACCAGCCTAGGCTTAATGTGCGCTAATTTACCGTACCACAAAAGATACAAAAAGGAAGGACACTTTAGCAATCAACTTCATTCTGCTCTCTTCGTGTCGGGCATTAGCTATGGAGCTTGAGAATCTCATGTTTGAACCCCCAGGAAATCCTGCCATTGTCTGGGTCGTTTTCCCCTCATTTCTCCAGTCTGTATCTGATGTACTTTATAAGAGCAATTTTCGCAGCGCGAAAAAAGAAGTCTATTCAGAGTTCATTTTAAGTCCCATCCACTGGCGCTTGGGTGTCAGATTAGAAAGTCCGGCTGAGGTGCTTTGGCATGGAAGGGAAGGGGAAAATAAAGACATGGCAGTGTCCTCTGTGCGAGGGAAAATGGACCAGCCTCGATTCGGGCGCCATGCTCCAGTGGGTCTGACACTTGTGAGATGGGAAAGAGAGAATGACAGGCCATTCTTTCTCCATTCTCCTATTGTGTTTTTCTGTGAAATATAAATAAAATACAAACAAAAAACACATTAGAATAAAACAAATTGCTCCCCTCTGTCTGTCTTAATTTTAGACCACACTGCACAAGCATTTTCAACTATGTACAATTAACATTTTGATTATATTGTTTGAATACCTGCTTTTGGAGTTAGCACACAAGATGGCTACACTATAAAAAGTGTTCATACCAAATTAACTTTTCAACAGACAATTGTGAAGTCAATGCTTTCAAAGAAACATAAAAACAACTGTATTGAGCATAGTATAGAATTCAGATCCTAAGTAAATGTACTTTTGTGATACCCCCTCTGCTCCATAAACAGATGTTTTCTGAGATAAGTTTCTACCAGCTTGGCACATTTTTGCCAAATATATTTTTGCAGAACGGCTCTAGTTCCATCACATTAAATGAAAAGACTTTACAGGATTTAGGTCTGTATTTTGACTGAAGTATTTACCTTCTTTTTTAAACAGGTAAATCTCCACTCCATTTAATCAACTCTGACGTTTGTCCCTGTCCTCGCACACTGATGGTGCCCGCCCCAGTTTTGACAGTGGGATAAAATGACTCTGTTGCTTCTAGGGTTCCTTCTTCCATATGTTGGATGTGTCTCCTTCTTGGCATAGATGAAGGGGTCTCCTGGGGGCTTTCCCAAGTGCCTGCATGAATCAAATATATGAACCTCACTCAAAGCATTGTGCGGTATGTGGTTATTAATCAGACAACTGTCCTTCCATCCATTTACTTCCCCTTTATCCATTTCTGGGTCGAGGGTAGCAGTCAGAGCTGCACCCAGTACACATAGCACCAGCCCCTCACTGATCCTCCTGCAGGTGGTGAGTCCACAGGAGCTAATCAGACAACTGGATGTTTTTTATTCCAAAAAGTTTCACTCCAATTACACAAAAAATTTGCAATCAATTCCTGTTTTCAACTAGCATAACTCACATCACTTCACTACTAACACCACTTCTGCTCAAGATATCTGTACTTCATCTGCTCTACCTTCTCAATTGGACTGCCGGGATTTATAAACATTACAGTTAAATGAGGAAAGTTACATTAGGATGATGACTGAGAAATGGAAATTTATGTAAAACAAAATCCACTATTTTGTCTTGTAGAATGGCAAAATGACAGGTGTTCTTCCTAAATCCATTTTGTTAAAATTTGACATCTGACTCATCCTAACCAAAGCTGCCAACACAGTCCTGCTTCATCCACTTACAATTTATGAAAACATATTTAATCTGCTCATTCTGTGCCACCATCTGATAGTCATTCATTTCAATAAGCATGTAATCGGCTTAGTGACAGGCATCTCACCCACAATCAACCACTGTGCGTAATGTAGGACACTGCTGCTGCCGCTGAGTCCCTGGGCAAGACACTTCACCCAAATTCAATTCATTTAGACAGAATGTGGCTTTTCATTTTTTAGGGAGGATTTTTTTTTGGGGATGTATTAGATTTGTTTTCTCTTGGATCAAGCAAATATCTGTTTATTTTTTTATCTACTAGATCATTGAGTGACAAGGCAAGCTCGAGACCTGTTTTTTGCTATATGAGATTCGACAGTGGTGAAATTGTAGAGGAGCTTGAGGTTTAAAAGTGGTTGCGTTTCACAAAGGCATGACAGAAATCCTCGTTTAATCCTTGTTTTTTCATTAATCATTTGAGAATCATAACGAGACCATTTTTTGTTCTGCAGCCACATGTTACTTTACCAGTGATATTAGCTCGACGCAGTAAGTTCTGGAAACTCGGATCAGACTTTCTGATTGGTAAAACAATGGAGGGCGGGACACCAAAATTAAAACAATAACAAGATTTAGGGGCTGTAAAACAAATTTTGAAATCCAATTATCTCGGCTGAACTACTGTTATTAGTTAAAGAAGTATTGGAAAAGACCTTGGTTTATTAATGCCTTTTTACATATTAGGGCCATTTATGATGACTTGACATGAAAGTCTGACATATTGCTACTTTAACCATGAAAGAGAAGCAAAAACATATTGCAGAGCAGGGTGATATTGTTATTTTTTATGACAGGATATGGACAAAACATTTTTTATCTTGGCTATTTTTGGCACATAGTTGAATTGTGGTTGTGCAGTAATAACAGATGAGTAATACTGATCTCAGTGGTGGGTTAATTTCCATCACTGCTTGCGGCTTCAGCACATGCTAACTTGAACTGCTGCTGCTGTGAAAACATGTTGACACTAATTTTCTGCTTTCAGTTTGATGATACTCTTAGGAAGCATTGATTCCTTGGAAAAAACATCTTTCCCACAATATTGTATCATCTCTTTAAGATACTATCACCATTTTTTGAGTTGACTTGAATTAGCCAGCTAAATAAACGAAATAAACAACTAACTTCTTCCTCGAGTAGCGTAATGGTTTGTGTACATTGCAAACAAGAAATGGACAAAATACACTTGATTATTTTATTTTTCTCTTGACTTTGTGTTTTTGTTCTGTCTCTGATTTTTAAACAGCTGATTTGGAGATTTTTTTTATGTATTATATATTGCATTTCTGCACTTTTACTCTATTTATATTTGTATCTTGGGTGTCTGTATTTTATGTTCCCCCACTGGTGCTCCGTCTGTAAATGAAGTTCCTCACAAATGAATAAAGTTATCTGAATTGAATTGTCCTTTTTTGTCTTTTCAGAAAGTCGTGAGGACCGGACGAAGAGACTGTTCCGACACTACACTGTGGGATCATATGACAATTTCAACTCATACAGGTATATCTCATGCTAATATTACTGAGCCAGTCACAGACCATTAGTCACATATATTATTATGAGCTACTGCCATCTATAGGCAACATGTCACCAGTGCACCCTCAGCATCTTAACACCATCCTTTTAAGGGTCAATGTGGGACCAGTAAAAGCAGAGTTATACCACATGAATTTCATATCAATAATATCAATTATTAAAATTATAGCAAACAAAGGCTTGGCATGTGTCACTCTGCATGTAATGAGTCTATGTGATATATTGGTTTCATATTTCAAGCAAAGAATTGACAGAAATAAATGAACTTTTGAACAATATTCTAATTCTCACATGTATACTCTGTGCAAGGATGGCTTTGCTAAATTGTTCATTTTAAACTTGCACAAACACAATTTCACTGTACAAAATAAGTGACCCAGATATACTGTGCATGCATGGTTTGAAAAGGGGTTGGATGAAGCAGATTCTTATACACTTCAAACTGCCTTCACCCATTCAACACAAGACAACATAAGACTGTAGCAGCACAATACAATAACCATAGATAAGTCAGGACAACACACACTTCTTCCGTTAAATTGTTCCAGCTGTTATCTCCACAGGCTGAGATGCTTTTAGGCACATCTTTTTTATCTAATGCAATTCTAATGGCCACACTTCAACACCATTATCTAAATAAGACAATAATTTGTATGGAAATCAAGAAGTCTGTGTGGAAAAGCCACTAGCAGAAATCGTACACAGTGCAAGATTAAACGGCTTCAATCAGACACATATATTTACATTTCTGAACCATTTGTTGATATTATAGTGCAGTGTCTCCCAAAGTGGGGTCCGCGGCCCCCTGGTGGGCCGCGAGGGTACTGCAGGGGGGCCGCGGGAGGTCATAAAAAAAATAAAAAAAATATATATAATTATTTAATGTTAAATTTATAATGTTTTGTTTGTAATATTAAAATATTTGTGTTCATTATTTGACTTGAATAATCCACTGTAATCATTTTTGTATTACAATGTTTGTAGCAGAGGCTATTTCCCCAAAATAAAATAACCAGAAGAGCCTATTCTTAATGTTGTCTTCTTGGTTATTATTTTGGGGGGGCCACGCAGACCCGTCAGATTTTTAAGGGGGCCTCGGTGTTACTGAGTTTGGGAATGGCTGTTATAGTGTATTCCACCTTGTAGTGACCTAGTGGCTGTAAGAGGAGGAATTGCGCCTTATTGTTTGACTACAGTGTCTACAGTGCTCCAGTGTCGATTGTTTTGTAGGTTTTCTATTGAGAGTGTTCCTCAGCAGCGAAACCTCCCAAACAATTGATCTTTTAAGATCCTTGAGACCATTGTAATAGACATTAAAGGGCACTTGGTCACTACAAGGTGATAAAAAGTTGCATAATGCCCCTTAAAAGCATGTAACTCTCTAAGTCGTTGTTCTGTTGAGAATGTGTGCACAAAAGTATCCAGCACAATCAGTAAGTAGTACTGTAACGTGCAAAGTAAAGTTTTATACAAAAACATCAGAACAGTTTAAAAAATATCATACAACACAACAAAAAACATGCACACATCCACACGTGCTCACTCAGATACAGGCCAAACTCTCTTTGACGCTACACTTCTTTCCCACTACGCCAATAAGCACATGTAAACATAGAAGAATCCATAAATTGAACAAAAACATAAGTTTGCTGTTATTTTTGTTTTCTTTCACCCTCATATCCATTTTGGGAGTCGTTGGTGTTGTGCAGGAAGGATATTGTAGCACATAGAGCTGTAGTGAGAGTATGTCGGAGCTTATGCATATGAATGAGAGCAGAAGCAGAGGATAAAAACACACATTTGACCTGCCTTCACAGAAAGGTTTGCTCTATGTTTCATGAAAACAACAGCAGCGGCACAGGGCTCTCAGTAAGTCCAATTGTTTATGCTACAATTGAGCAAAGGATAATTAGATTGTATGGATTCTTTGGTCTAGTTTATTATAAAAACTTCAGTCAGTTCGTCCTTTACGTGCCTTCTTTTTGCTCTTGGGTCTACACATTGCTTTCACACGTGCACAGATTAATATTAACCACATTCCTACATGCTGTAACTGTATGAGTGACTTTGTGGAGCTATCTCTATGCTTTTGTAGTCTGCCTGCTCTTGTGCCTCTGAGCAATGATGGCACACACTCAACACTGCTGTCTCTTTGTGTCTCTCCCAGTGACTACATCATCGAGGAGAAAAATGCTATTTTGCAGAAGAAAGAGAATGAAGGCTTTGGATTTGTCCTGCGCGGAGCCAAAGGTGAGACACACACATGCTCTTCCAACAATGGGAACAAGTAGCAGTATAAAAAGTATCAAAGGGTGAACACTATTCTTCAATCCTCAACAACTAAATGCATGTTTTTGAGTTATGTTCATGGGGTGGGAGTCTACACATTTTTACTTGTTTCCCACTCCATTTTGAGATTTGTAAATTCATCTTGAAATTGTAAATATATCAACACATGCTGAAACAATGGCAAATTCTGTTGCTTGCTTGTATATTTATGCTTATATACTTGCATGTGTTTGAATATGCTGTGGGTCCTGTAGGCAACATGTACAAAAGGTCTGTAAAGGAATCTAAATATTGTAAATACTTTCTGCTTGAATGAATAAAATCAATCAATCAATCAAATCAATCACCAGATGGATATTATTAGGACTGCAACGATTAGTGAACATGATCAACTGCATCGGCTCTGTGGAGTGGGGGAAGAGTGTGGAGGGTGTCTGTCCCCCACACTCTCCCACTCTCCCTCCCCTGGTTCTCCTGGCTCTGTGTGGCCTCTAGATTACCGCACACATCGCAGCCACCTTTTTATACTATTTTTCTAAAGTGAATCTACATTTTGGAATGAATTACTATAATTTTTTATTCAATTTATGTTTAAAACGTTGTCTACATGTTTCAATGTCACAAAACAACATATGTTTCATTCAGATAAGACTTCATTCAGATACAACTTCAGATACGAAAGGACGTGTGTCCGTCCGTTATTTAGCTTTTTCTTGTCATTCATTTTCAAAACTTGTGTTTTTAAGATGCAGGTGTACAAAGGATTCATACAGTACAGTAGACTAGGCTAGTCAAAATAATCATTAGTAACATAGATATTAGAAACCCAATGAATACTATTCTTACTTATATTGAAAATCATGTGAATATTATGATATTGTTTCATAATCACTTAAAGCTGGGGTCCCTAACTTTCAATCAACAAGACAGCAACTATGTAATAATTGCCATCTAACTAGTTCCTCGCTCTCAAAACAGTTTGGTTCTTTCATGCCAATATTTTTCATACAAAAAAGTGGAAAAAAATGGTATGATTTTATTTTACAACATATTACTTTCAAAAGATTCTTTCTGTGGAGATTAATTTCTTCATCTTTCATAATGCTTCAGATATAGGTGGCTCATTTGTTTGTGTGACAGTCTGCCTGCACTGACACATGGGGCCTTAACGTATATTGTTAGAGTGTGAATCAACACAGACAGCTTTGGTCAACACTCGGCTTGTGTGTGTCCCATCTGCTCCACGCCCCCCTCCTCGTGCTAACTGCGTCCCCACTCCGCCCTTGTTAGTTCCTGTTGTCTTTTACCTCCATCTCAATCTCAGCCTCCGAATTACCCCGGCTAAACACCATTTATCCTGCCCTCGCGGCGCGCTGAACTCAAATCACCCTGATACAGTCTCCTGGTGCACGCGCCAGCTCCCGGCCCGCCTGCCTGGGCCCCGTTGCCATGGCGACTGCACTTGGGCAGCACGCCAGCAGTCTGAGCGCATATTGCTCCTTCGCCGGGGTGGGATCTGTTAGCTGCTTTACTCTGCGTGCGTTTGTGTGTGTGCGTGTGTGTGCGTGTGTGTGCGTGTGTGCTTGTGTGTGCGTGTGTGTGTGTGTGTTTGTGTGTGTGTGTGTGTATGTGTGTGTGACTATAAATGCACGCGGTTCACTCCAAGCAGATCTGTGGGGCTTTTGTGTCCAAGGGGAGCCTGGACACCTTCCAGGATTAAGTGGACTGAAAACACTTAGCAAAGTCCGTCCATATGTACTAAGCAGAGCTGAAATTTGCATGAATAATTGTCATGCTATGATTCTTTGAAAATTGGATCAGAAAGAGATCTGACTGTTTTCTGAAAGTATCAAAAGATCCTACATCACCGCGGCCACAAAGCAGTCAGTGCAGCCAAGATAACACCAAGGATTGGACTTTTATTTTTCAATCACATGGGGGTCCAGAACCTTATTCATGAGTTTCTGAAGTTTGTGGGGGCAGGTTCTCATTCAAACAATGAATGATCATTTGTGAAGATTTTTAAATAATTTTACTTTTACTCTCAAGTTTTATTCTTCAGCGTAGATTAAAAACATAAACAACAGGTGCATTGTGCAACTGTTCTGATGGGGTCCACTTCCTTCTTCATTGCCATATTTTGTTGTTGCTTTGCTTGGAACGTCTCAATTTGGTTTAAAACAAGTACATTCTTCAATTATGGATGATTTTAGCTTTGATAAAGTTAATTATTTCAGTGAGAAGACTCGCCTCACCTCAGAAATCACTTGAAACTTATTCAAGTGAAGTCACATGCTTAGGGTTCCAGTTGTAGAATGCACTTTTTTGTAGAGTCCTATAAGTATAATACTAAGTTTACTTCTGCTGTCTGTTTTAGCTGAAACTCCCATTGAAGAATTCAGTCCGACCCCAGCCTTCCCTGCCTTGCAATACCTGGAGTCTGTGGATGTGGAGGGAGTGGCCTGGAGGGCCGGTCTGCGCACGGGAGACTTCCTTATTGAGGTAAGACTTTTGGTGTAATTTACTGTGGGGGGAGTTGCACTTTTTCAGTCATCCCACGTCAATGACTTGAAATAATGCTAGGTTTGAAAAAAAAAAAAGAGTGTATACAGGGATGAAAAAATCTGTTTGCACTTCACAAAATCCTGTATTGCACTTGAAAAAAATAAAGAAACTACAAATCCATGCAAAACGTAGAGCAATATGGAGCTGATGCAGTTGCGCCTGATAAAGCCGGGACACATGTGCGTTTGTTCTGCAGGTTAATGGGGTGAACGTGGTGAAGGTGGGCCATAAGCAGGTGGTGTCTCTGATACGTCAGGGGGGCAACCGGCTCCTGATGAAGGTGGTCTCAGTCACACGCAAACCCGAGTCCGACGAAGTGGTGCGCAAGAAAGGTATTGACGACACGCCTCATTTAGACCCAAAGCTAACTGCTCTGTTGTCATGTTTTCTTTGATGAATGTGTGGCGAAGTGCAGAATGGATGGAGTTTTGTCTAAGAGCTTGCTAATTTGATACATTTACAATAGGAATTTTGGTTTTTAAAGAAATATTATCTGAGCAAGGCAATTAAAAGTGTTTATATCGTATATTTCACACAGATTATGTAGCTCTTTGCTGTGTGGAGATTTGGATATTGGAACAATTCTCAAAGAAGGCAAAAAAAAGTAGCATACACTGATCCATATTTAAAAAGACATCAGCCTTTTTCCTCTGTGAATTATTTGTGTTGTGTTAGGTGATGACCTAAAAGAATAAGTTGTGGAACTATTGTCGATATTGATCCAGTAGAATTTGAATTCAACAGCATACTGCACTCCCATATTCACATGTCTGCAGCTCAGTTTCCAGAGAGTGACTATGATTGCTTCTGTCAAGTTGGAAATAAATGTCAGATACGGGTGATTTTTGTGCGTGGAGTTCAGTCCATTGGCAAAAGTCTCTTGCAGTTTTCTGTCGATGAGTGAGTGAATGGTTACATACAGTATATTTCTGTTGCCATGGCAATGTGTCTGCACTGAACTTTTTTCCCTGATTGCTAATTTAATCATTCAATCGTCATTACAGTATGATATATGGAGCTAATGTCATCTGTTTCTATGTAACACTTGTTGCTTACTTGTTGCCTGTTTTCCTTTTGCTTCTCCATCTTATTTTGTTTAGACACAAATGAAAACGTTTTCAGTTTTGGGGAACAATATAAAAACATGTTCTGATAATCTCTTCTCTCTATCATTCTCTTTCCTTAAGTATACTTTGTTTGAAATGTCAGTTTATGTAGAGCTGCCAGTGGTTTTAGCTCTGTAATAATGGTCAGTACTCTTTCTGAGTCTTTCTTCCATTACACCAGTTTGTGTTGGCATGCTGGCCCCGGCTTCATGTTTGCTGACACTGTGACAGTGTGGAATACGGGGGTTACTATGTACTTTACTTGTTGGTTAATTTCTCAGTAGGACTTGTGAGATCTCACACAAGCATTTTGGTACGGTTAAAAGAAAATGAACAGCTTGTTGTGATCTCCTGCTATGTAGATAATTTGTCGTGATGATGTGTGGGGACTGGCCAATTAGTTTTTTATTTTATTTAATAAATGTATTGCAAGTAAATCCTTTTCATGGAATTATGCAAGTCTGATAATCTGCCAAGACTCTCTCTGCAGTAACTACCTAAATGAATGACATTGTGAACTTGTGTGTCTGAAAGTTTCACTAAATGAGTTGGTGGCTCAGAGGGGACTATAACATCCAATGATTTTATTGTTTTTTTGCAAAGTTGTATGAAATCTTGGTCCATGACTGAAGACAGTGACTGTACGGTGACTGTAAGACAACAGTTCTCGATATGGATCTATCAATAGTAAGAATTAAATTTGATTAATTGTATTTGATACATCCTTACTATTGGGTCACTTATACATTTTACACGTTGTCACAGGACAGTAAATTACAGCAGAAGAAAGACCGAAAAGGAGTAGGCTGAAGCTAATGCTTTTTTCGCCTGCCCTTTTTACAAGTGTCATTAGTATAAGTGAATGTAAACAATAGCATTTAAACTATATCAACATCAAAAATCTGACTTCAGGTAGCCATCCCAAATGATAGTTTTAAACATCCTTTTAAAGTGGTAAAGTGAATTGTATGACTTAAGTTCATCTGTGCATTTATTCCAGAGATCAACCCCTCTAACAGATAAACAACTTTTCATTACATTAGTTCTACATTTTTGTTCTACGAACATGTCTGTTCCTCTCAACTCATAATGACTGTCTCTGATTGTGAACAGTTTTTGTAGTGGTTCAGACGGAAGGTCATTTTTTATTTCGAAATGTAATATTAAACTGCAAAGGTCAATTAAATCATATAATTTTAATATTTGTAGATTTATAAACAGTGCATTTGTTGGCTCGTTGTAGGCTGATAATGTAAACGCTCTTATTGCCTTTTTTTGCAGTATGAAAACTGGTTTAGTGTTACTTTTCTAAGTGTTGCCCCATATCTCAATAGAATATGTAATATAGGGCATTACTAATGAGTTATATATAATAAGTAGACTATTTTTTTAAAAGATATATCTGTATTTATATATTATTGCTATTACTTTGGACAGTTTATTCATAATATTGTTTACGTGAGATTTCCAATTGAGCACATGGTCTATAGTCACGCCCAGAAACTTGTTCTCATAGACTCGTTCCAGGAGAGTGTTATTTAGATTAATTTCAGCTTGGTTTGAAATGTTCCGCTTCGCAAATATTATATATTTAGTTTTCCCAATGTTTAGTGATAAATCTTCAATCTTTCAATCTAAGTGCAGTTCTAAATGCATTATAAGGATCTACTGGTGGTCTATGTCTCTTCTTTCAAGACTAAAACCAGTACAAATTATGTGTGATATTTTCCCTTTAATCCTACAAGAAATATAAATTCAGTATTATTTAATTGGATAGTTCACATTTTCATCCATCCCTGTAGGACTCAGGTTCTCTCCTCTGAGTTCACTGAGTTCAGATTGGTCAGGATGTTGTGAGCCCAAAGTACTGCAGAAGAGTGAGCGTATGGAGCTTAAACTTCCTCACTGTAGTCTGCGTATTGGGGGCACACCTTTTGCTCACACACACACACACACACTCTCCCTCACTACTGCCTCCGTTACCATGGCGACTACACTGCATGTTTGAATTAAGCATTACATTACTGCAAGATCCTCTCTTGTTCTCCCTCTCCACACCTCTGTCCTATTGTAACACTGTCTGCGGACTAATGAGGCGCTTCTGTCCGGACTTTATCCGACCGGGGGATCTATGCCCTGAAGACCACCACCAGAGAGTGTGCCGTTTGAGCCCAATATATTTTTTTACAGTCTGGACCTTTGCCTTTTTAGCAGCGGAGGGCGATTCTCAACGTTGGACTCTCTGATTTCTCTCCGCATGCATGCTCTCTGCTCGTTACTCTCTGCTTTGTCCTCTATCGTAACTTTTGAGTCTTAGGTCTGACATGTTGTATCCCTTATTCTAAGAGTCCGTCCTAAAAAACGGCATGAATGTGTGAGAAAGTGAGGAGGCTTGGACTGCTGTAAATGGTTTGAAACGGGAGCATGTTACAGAAAAAAAAACTATATTGCATAAATGTATTAAAATACGCTGATCCAGGGATGTTATCAGCTAATGGGTAGTTTTGACTGTTGCGAACTCACTGGCACCGACATGAAGAAGTTGGGATCAAACAAAGTGGCGGCTAAACGCGAGCCACACAGATTGCCTGACCCAGCTCACCTCAGAGCGCTGAAACTCGGCTGGAGCGGGCGCCTGGGGGACGCCAAGAGAGCCCTGAGCCGCAAAGCCAAAGGATTTACTTCCACTTCCAACACCGCTATCTCCTCCTCAACCCCCTGCCTTGTGTCCACAGCCCCGCCCCCGCCCAAGAGGTCCCCCAGCACCACCCTGACGTTGCGCTCTAAATCCATGACGGCCGAGCTGGAGGAGCTGGGTAAGCAGAGACGCCTTGTCCTGACTGCTGCCTTCCATGGATTACTCTTTGTGGACTTCTTTCCGACTTCTGTCCTGTCTGATTCTTTCTCAGTACAATTCTATTTTATCACCTGTTTTCAAATCTTTTCTATCTGTATCTTTTTCCACCAAGCTTCTGCAAGGAGGAGAAGAGGAGGTGAGTTTCAGGCAAGAAATTAATACTTCTAAATTCATGGTCATTGAGGATGAGGTGGTATTTGATACATGGTCAGCCTATACTGGTTGTTCCGTAACTATGCCTAGTTTTCTTTTACTATTTTTGGGGGAATTGTTACCAGTAATTGTATTCAAGTACTTGAATAGGTCATTCAGTCACACCCACACACAACAATCACAAGTACGCACAACCACCCACCCACATGTGGAAGCGCCATCAGAGGAGCCGTCTGTTGGGATCAGCAATGAGCTGGACAGAAAGTGTTTCTTCCAGCCAGCTTGTCTATCGGTTCAGACTAGTAACTACAAGAAACAGGGTTATTTTTGTGGGGGGGGGGGAATCATTTCAATATAATCAATGTATTACGGTAAACAAAATTATAAAGTTGTGTTTTATGTATCTTTGAGGGGGAAAAACTGCACATTCTACTGTGATGTTTTTTGATATTGAGACAGTTCAAGTATCTAGTTTCATTTGTTTTGTACTACACAAAATCATGTTTTATCTTCTGCAACTTAACATAGAAAATCAACATTAGTTTTAATGTTAATGTTTATTATCTATTTTATATAATGTGTTTTTTGCACAACTATATTATGCTGCATTGAAGGAAATGACGTTGCTTAACTTCTTTCATCCCAGAGTCACAATATTATGCTACTTAGTTAATGATGTGTCTTTGATGAAGCTGCGATTACCGTCTCCTTTCTTAGCATGTAATTAATGGTGACACGCTTCTATAGTCTTGTGCTTGAGTGTTTAGTTGTGGCTCATTTGCCGCCCCACAGAGAGGCTGGATGAGATGCTGGCGTCACAGGAGTCCATGTTACACTCTCAGCCCCTGGAGGCCGACTACAGAGCAGCTACGGTCAAGCAGAGGCCCAGTACCCGGAGGATCACCCCTGCTGAGATCAGCGTGAGGACTCTTTTACCGCACACACACGCACACACACACACAAACTGAGGACTTCTACGACACATAAAAACTGATAACTCGTACAGCTCACACACACACTTACAAACTGAGGAATCACACATCTTTTTGTTTATATCTGTGAGAAGTAACTTTTTTTTTTTTTTTTTTTTTTTTCTGGACACTCAAAAACTCACATGGCATTGTTATTTAATTCCATAAACAGCGGGGATAAACTACAGAAGCGAGCCAACCAGTTTGTGCCATGGGCCCACCACCAATCATTCATGCACACACCAGACTCATTCTAGGCGGATGTGGGTGAAGTGTCTTGTTTAAAGACACAAAACGTTTTCGGCACTTTACAGCCGCCCCATGGCACCTGGTGTTCCCTTGGGTGTTCCCCATGGATCTATAATAATAACTGGGTAGACTATTCCGCTAATCTTTCGGTCTCTGTGAAGTCCCATGCGCTACCAAGCACAAGCCATTCATTTGAATAAGGCGCCATCTTGGATCACCGGGGCTTAGTGTTCCCAGACTTTAATTGTAATTTTTTCATATTCATTTATAGTTTTATCTGTCCTACTTCTACTCCATACATTTGACATGATTATAGGTATTAAAAATTTAGTAATGTTCTTTTGTTTCAGTCTTTATTTGAGAGACAAGGGATGACCTTCCATGGAGCTCTTCACCCCAGCATGGACCGAGGCCACATCCCCCTACCAAAAGGGATGTCCAGGACAAAATCTTTTGGTAAGCCAGTAGTAATTTTAAATAAAATATAAAGCATTAGCTAGGCTAGATAAAATATATTAAAATGTTGATGTGTCTACCGAGTTACTAACTCCAAGTAAAAGTGCTTTTTCACCCTATACAGTATAATTCAAAATGCATGCTATGGTACATTTAGCTCTTAAATCAGTATATCACTATTTTTGTTTCAATCTGGATCCTGTAATTTTTATAATGTTACTTGCAGTGGCCACAGCATATACTGTAGATAATTTTCACTCGGCCACAAAGGACAATATTCATGTGATGATAAAAAATGATTACTCCTACAATAATGACTCTTTTTGACATATTTCGTGCTGAGATCTCACTTGCCTCCCCTTTTTCCAGGTGCCTCTGAAGAGGACCGCCTGTCTGCATTGGCTGGAGAGCACCGTTTCCCTCGCAGCTCATCCATGACCGATAGTTTGCGGGACCATTCCCAACCACGCAGCATCCCCCCACCCCCACAGACTGCCCCTCCTCCCCCACCATACTACCTGGACACCGGGCCTCCTCCAGCCTTCTGCCCCCCACCACCCCCTTCCAGAACTCAGAGCCAGGGCCACGAGCCTGGGGGCCGCTCTAGCTTTAAGCCCTCCAGTCTAGATTTGCCCTATGAAGCAGCTCACAGGCAGGCCACACACCTAGAGAGGCAGAAGAAGGCTCGCTCCATGATCATCCTACAGGACTCTTCTCATCTCCCTGTTGAGCCCACAGAGATCCCCCGGCCCTCTGCTGCCACCCCACCAGAGCGCATCAAAAGGAAAGGCCGCATCATTGATAACCCTTATGCCAACGTGGGACAGTTTAGCATCGGGCTGTATGCGCCCACCAAGCCCCAGAGAAAGAAGAGTCCTTTAGTCAAGCAGCTACAGGTACCTCTTTGTGGACCACTGTATTCCACTATTCTTTCATGTGATTTCAAACATCTTTGTGATTTCTGACAGGTTGAAGATGCACAAGAAAAGGCATGTTTAGCCCTGGCGACCCACTCTCGAGAGACCTCCCCCTCAGGGCGACCACCTCTTGCCCATGGCCACTCTCACACCAGCCGGGTGGACTACTACCAGCAGCAGCTGATGGCTGAGAGACAGAGTCTGCGTGCCCAGGGAGACATGTTTCAGGGTAAGGGGCCATTTGCTGCTGCCATCGCTGGAGCAGTGAAGGACCGAGAGCGTCGCTTAGAGGAGCGGAGGAAATCCACTGTCTTCCTTTCTGTGGGGACCATGGAGGGGGCATCTAGCACCAGCCTGGACAACCCCTCACTTACTCAGTCTCACTCCATTGATGAACGGTTGCTCTCAAGGGAGCTGGGACAACTGCCTCCCCCTGCCTTGGCACTCAGCCCCTCACCTAGTGGGACCACCTTTATCCATCCACTCACAGGAAAGCCCTTGGACCCCAATTCACCACTGGCTCTTGCGCTGGCCGCAAGGGAGAGGGCCCTGACCTCCCAGAGCCAGTCCCCCACTGGCAGCCCAGAGCCTAGGACTAAACTGGAGCGGGCCAGCCAGGGTATCCTGTTGTTTGATACTCAGACCAAAGAGTCTTCTCTTAGGGACGGGGTATCCGCATCCCCACCCTTCTCTCCAAAAAGCACCAAGGCAGCAGGTTACGGAGTTGGACCTTCACCCAGTCCTGTTCTCCTTCCCCAGCCCACCAAACAGTGGGTGACGTCATCATCACCTGTATTATTTCGACAAGAAGTGGAAAGCAGAGGAGAAGACAGGCTTGATGATAAGAAGAGCATGTTGATTAGTATAATGGACACATCACAACAGAAATCTGCAGGTCTTGTCATGGTGCATGCCACCAGTAATGGTCAGGAAGTGGAAGGCAGCTCAGAAACAGAACCAAGGAGAGTTAGTACGCCCACAGAACTCAGCAAAGTTGTGGCCACACGAGCCAAGTCTCCCAGCCCCACTGTGTCCCTGCTCCAAGCGCAGGCCATGCGTCCAACCACCCCAGCCCAAGAGAAGAACCTTCCTCTGGGAAGCTCAGAGGAAGATGCAGACCCTTATACCGTGACCCTGCCCCCTGCCATGCTCACCTCCAGCGATGAGGAGACTAGAGAAGAACTCAAAAAGATTGGCGTTCTCCCTCCACCGGATGAGTTTGCCAATGGGCTGCTGGCACAGGGGGCAAATGCAGTCACTATATCCACTATCTCCATGACCCCTGCATCCATAACCTCCAAAACATCCACCACTTACACCACTACAATAACAGCCAGCCTGCCTCAGCCTCCACCCCCAAGTGCTGTCTCAGGGAAGCCTTCGGAGCCCCCCCAAGTGGTTGAGTCTGGTTCTGCAGCTGACTCAGGTGTTGAGGAGGCTGATACCCGCAGCTCCAGTGAGAAAGAGCGGGACCACCACCTGGAGACCACCAGCACTGTCTCCACCGTCTCCAGCATGTCCACACTGTCCTCAGAGAGCGGAGAGCCAGCCGACACACACACCACTCACACCTCCTACGCTGATGGACAGACTTTTGTGCTGGATAAGCCGCCAGTGCCTCCCAAGCCCCGCCTCAAGTCCCAGATGGGAGGAGCTAAAGGCTCGGTCACCTTCAGGGACCCTCTGTTAAAGCAGAGCTCTGACAGTGAGCTGTTGTCCCAGCAGCAAGCCGCAGCCCTGGCTGCTGCAGCTGCTGGTGGAGTCGGACTGCCCCCTGGTGGATCAGCATCAGTGACTGGACTGGCCTCTACTAAGCCACGCTACCTCTTCCAACGGAGGTCCAAACTCTGGGGAGACCCAGTGGAGCCTCGAGGCCCTGGAGTGGGCTTGGCTCTCGGGAGTTTGGGTAATCTGGGTGGGCTGGGGCTGGGAATGGGCTCGGATGAGGGAAGACCCTCTGTCATGGGCGAGCTGAGTTCACGCCTTCAGCAACTAAACAAAGACACCCGCTCCTTGGGAGAAGAACCTCTGGGAGCATCCCTCGACCCCGGGAGGAAGTCACCAGTATCAGGTGCCAGGTAAGAAGTACATCACTGCTTTTCATACAGACGTGTGATATTAAGAATTGCATTATTGCATTATGCACGTGAGGTTTAAAACATACTGTAGAAGGTTAATAAACATCTGCTATTGTTAAGTTTTCATTACCATTTTGAATAGTGCCTTTGCAGCAGGAAGTGGTAATGAGGTCAGAGGGTCACAGTTTGTGCAATGAGACCCTGTCAGTCCCAATGTGCTGTATAAATGTGCTATATAAATCAAAAGTAGGATTTCCTTTACTGTGAGAATGTGCCACACCATTATTGGAGTAGAGGATTGTGGGTCGTGAGCTCATCAACGTGTTGTTTTTACACTCTACAATGAAGTCTTTATATTTCTACAGATGTGAGGAGCCAGAAGAGAGTAAACCTTAAGGTTATTTTCACTATAGGGTAAACTACAGCTTTCATTTCTTTTCATTGTTTTCCTTCCAAACCTGCAAACTAATCCAATTCACTTTAACAGACTTTTTCCTCTAAATTTGCATTTCAGATCATGTTTGCATCTCTGGATTACATAATATGTGCGGCTTAAGAACTGGGTTTGTCATCTTTCTTTGCAAAATAAAGATTTTATTTGCACATTACATTTAAACGGACAATAAGGACCCATCTCTTTTTTCTGTTTTTTTTCTCAAATCCATACGTAGGCCTAAGAGCCGAATCAATGTCTCACGCTAAAACCCTTTCTGTGGTTTAATAAACCACAGGAAGGGTTTATTGAACCCAGTTTATAATCACACTTTTGGAAAACATAGATAGGACTCATCTCGATTACTTGGATGTGATATTCAGAGATGCTGACACAACTTACTAAATATATCTGCAAGTTCTTTTGTGTGGTTATATATAGGGTACTATTACCTATTAAAGGTCTAGAACTTTCCTTGATCGTACTTTTATTACGTGCATTTAGGCCATAACCATTCAGCCGGTGTTGTAATTGAAAGTGTGTGTGTATCTGCAGATGCAAACAGTGAGAAATGGTTGTGAAAGCATGTGTTGTCCTAGCTCTCCTCGTGTTATCCTCAGCCTGCCTGCTGGGTTCTGTCTGTAGACTGCATCACATTTCCCCTCTGAGTTTTTCCTACAGACTCGGTCCCTGACACTTGTTCAAACGCTGCATAGCCCAGTGCCTTCTGTTGGTGTTTGCCCTTGTCACTGATATTGGACAGTAGAGAAAATATCAGTGACAACAAAGCCAACTTTTCAAATATTGTGTTTGAACAAGACTGCACAGCATACCATTGTTTGACATGACAAAAGCAGAGTCCTCACAATTAAAGGCGCTCTAGTTACTTTTCTCTTTTGGTGAATTTGGGGAAAAATCTGCAAAAAGTTCATAAATGTTTGAATTGAACAGTACTTATCTTGATTTAAGTCAGGATTGAGGTGGCTCGTGCCAGATGACAACACACCCATGATGACGTCATCATTGGTCAAAGTACCAGCACTAACAAACCAGTACCAGAACTAACAAACTTCTGCTAGGCATATAGGAGGATTTTCTACTTCTCTTTGGATCATCAAGACTAGTGGTCCTCCTAATTGTGAATCATTCTGGTTTCAAAAAGTGGAGACGGTGGTTGTTTCCTAAAATTTGGGAAAATCCTCCTATATACTATAAGTTAAAACATGTAAAAGGAGATTTGGCCGTAAAACAACTTGTTCATTCTATAATTTCTAAAAGAAAGACATTTTATACTTTACTATACTATTTTAAAAAGTGAGGAGGAGGACTCTGCTCAGCCGAGTAGACCACAAGGGCGTAGGTGAACATTTGGTTTTCAACTTTGTGGAATTATTATATTCAAATCAAGATTAATACTACATTACACATTTTCAGATTTTGCCATGTGTGTGCTTGTTTCCATGGAAATGTCATTCCTTTGCCTCAATTGTTCCACAGAATAGTATTTTGCAGTTTCCTTTTTGCTAGTATTTTAACAACTAAAAGAATGAACTAAATGTGTCTCCACAGATATGACTGCACCACCTTTAAAAACACACTAGAAAAGTGTATCTATAAGTAATTTCCCCACTACTCTGCTTCCAATGTAATCGTTTTTTGTGCAGTTTTGAAAAGTTTTAATAGAGATAAATAGATAGATAGATAGATACAATACAATACAATACAATTTATTCTTGTATAGCCCTAGGTCACAACAGAAGTCATCTCAGAGGACTTAACAAAACCATTGAAATCACCAACACAGGTCAGAGAATCAACAGTTAAAACACATGAAAATTATAAAGCACACACAGAAGAAAATGTCCATACATGTTGTAGAATGCTAAAGTGTCCTGATCATCACCAATCCTTTCTGTTGGACACTAACTGTCCAACAAGACCCTCCTGCAAAAAGTGAGAAACCTTGGGGAGAACTAGGGAAACCCACAGGGAGGGAGACCCATATGAGAAAGGGATCCGCTCCTCCGGACGGACAGGTTAATGATCCAGGACCTAAGCTAGCTACAGAACGTTGACCAGTGGCCGCTGAACGTGGACAGGTCCGGTGCAGGACCGAAGCACTCCCAGGCGGGTCGGGCGGGGCAGTCCGCAGGTGTAGATGGAGGAGGCCAGGCTCAGAGATCCTGTCATCGTACCATGAAACAGACAATGGGACAACGGGTGAATAGCAATGAACAAACTACAGTCAAAATCCTAAAAATGCTAAACAGATAAAGTAGGAAGGAGGAGAGGATAGTGCTCAAGTTACTATACTTCTCCCAGCAAACTGACTCCCTATGCAGCTTGACTGACAGTCTGAGGAGTTTAACCTTCTCCGAGTCTTACCTTCCTAGCCATATGCTAAACTAAAGAGGACTGGTTTAAACCTAGCCTTGAATAAAGAGAGCGTATCTGAAAAGAGGTGAGACAGCAGCAGCCACGGCTACTGTAGGCTAGCCTAAGCTACGGCACCAAGACCCATGGATTGCACACCAGGTGTGCAAACCGATCCAGGCAAATCTAATTATATAATATATATCATATATATCATATATACCATACATATTATATATATTATATATAATACATAACATAACATACAGCATAATATATAACATAATATACAACATAACACAATACACAACATAATACATATATTATATAATATATAACATAATACTGTATACAACATAATACATTTATTGTATAATATATAACATAATACAGCATATATATATATATATATATATATAATATATACACCATATATTATATATTACCTAATTATATGCTAAATTAAAGTAGAGTGGATAGATAGATGGATTGATCAATACTCTATTGAGGAGAATTTCAGGTTTCCAGTAACAGCAAAAATAAAACATAAAATTGATCATTCTAAAAAGCAATCATTCTAACAATAGTAATAATCAGCAACAGCAGCAGGTCACAGCAGCAGAGGTGGTGAAGCCTCTGGGTGGAGCAGGACGGGTCACAAGGTGGAGTAGCCTCTTGGTTCAGACCATTTTCTTTGCTCTAGTCCAAAGTAAAATGCTAAATGCTTCATGCTTTTTTGAAAGATGCGCTGGGAAACTGCTGCAAGTCCGAAGTACCTCTGACACAGTTGTTGTTTTGTGCTTTATTTTTTCTTGCTTTTTTCTGCCTGAGATGTTGCTGCAGTACAGTGTGCATAGTTTTGCACTGGTCCAGACCAGAGCGGAGAGGATTCATGGTCTGAACCAAGCGGGTCAGGTGAAAAGCCACTGGAGGAATGCTAACTTTTTGAAAAATGCTAATGAGGCATTTAGCATTTTACTTTCATTTTCACTTTCATGGTAAAACCATGAACACTGCAGCAACATCTCAGGTAGAAAAAAGCAATACAAATTAAAATTGGAAAGCACAAGAAAATCACAATATCCAGAAAATCACTTTTTATTTATACATTTATTTGTATAAAGGTGCAGAGTTTTCTTATAAAAATCATGAACTTTAAGAGTTCATCCCACAAGGGCCTTATGGCACATACGTAGACACTAGAAGTTTACATACATAGATATTGATATGTCAGTCCAATGCCTCATTGAACCAAAGACGTCCGATCATTTCATCTCAGCTGTTTCACATCAGAGCATGTTCATGTCATCTCCAGAGTTTCCACTGTTGCCAGCAGGGAGCATTCACTTCAGTGAAAGAACATCACATACTAGTGTGAAGGCTCCTAACATATGCTATGAAAATAAATACATGAAAAATAAATAATGGAACATATTAAAATAACACAGCTATTAAGAAGATTGAACCGTTCGAAATATTATTGGCACTGATTGAAAATGGAAATATAATTGTATTTTTATATCAAAGATGTGGCCACTCACTACACTCAGCTTTCACACCTCTCTCTCGCTCCTGTTTAGTAAAAGAAGAGGCAAACTAACCTCAGCAGCTTTTCTGTTGTCTTTTTCCAGTCTATATAAACCAGCTTTACCATGTGCATGTTTGTGTAAAGTACCAGTTACCTGCGGCTCAGCGAAGGTTAGCCGAAATGGGAAAAAATGTAAATCTCGTTTTTCTTGCCCTCTTTGGACATTTGGGTTTTAAATTTATTTCAACCAAAGAAACTGAACTGTTTAATGTTTCAAATACATTATAAAAGTATTTGGGTTAGGGTTACAGACGCTCCCCTCTCAAACATTATCAATGTTGTTCAACTCAGCTAAACTACAGAGGACAGAAGAAACACTATCCTGATCTCAATCCTGAATCGATTCCTTGATTTTCAAAAAGGTTGAACAATTGAATTAATTTGATTTATTGTTCAGTCCTAAATCCAGTGAATGAGTATTTTTGACGAGTATTTCCTGTTCCATGAGTCACGTGTCCTTTGGGTTTGAACAGAAGAGATTCCTCCACTGAAGCCTAGACCCATCACACATCCATACGCTTCAGTCCATGTATCTCCATAAGAGCAGCTCTGCTGAGCCCCACCCGTAGACCTGATCAGTGAACCTCTGCCCTCTGTCTGTGGGAGGGCTTTGGCTTTGTTTGATTGTTTACATTAAGTTTGTCTATGACGACCAGGGCACTATTGAAAAGGATGAGGTTAAATAAACGTTAAATGTTGATAAGAAAATATTATGACATTGACTGGTTTCCTACTTTTATGACCAACCGCTTGATGTCTGTCATGAAAACATTGACTAAATATTTGATGTAATGATAGAAGCTAGATGTAAACATGTGCCCTCTGTGTGTCTCTGATACTGTATGTGAACATTTCTTTGTCATGTTGCTCACTGTCAGACCTTCCCTGCTGAGGCCTGCTCTGCTTTCGGTACATGAAAACAAAAACACACACACATATGCACACGCACGTTCGCACACGCACTTTATATTAGACCTTGTATTAGTAGTGGACTAACCGAATGCTGATGTCATCATTGTGTTTGCCGCATGCAGAAGAAGCCGATTTGAAAATAAGCTATCTGGAGCACATTTATTTCTTTGGCATTTGTTCCGACGGCATTAGCTACGTGCCATAACAGGGCTGAGGTGGTTGCTAAGGCAATATGGATCACGGAGAGTGCTAAATCACAGATTTTTTATCTCAGATTAGTGAATGTGACACAAACGATTACTGAGCTAGAGAAGTTTACTTTTCCATGTAAATCAATAGGAGCCAGAGCGAGTTGGAGCAAAACGTCGCCCAAAAGGGCTTCATTGAGCTAGGGGGTTAGCACTGTATGCAGTCTATGGCACACACTCACACACACGCACACACACACACTTGGGTGCGCAGCAGAGCGGGCTGGCAGCTGGAGGCTGTGTTTCATTGAGTGATGCTAACATTCTCTCCCATTGCTCTCTCTTTGCTCACCTTGCATGCCCCGCCCCGCTGCTCTGATCTGATTGGTGTAGAACTGACTGTGCGTCCCGGAGGGCTGGACCACTGTGTAAGTGTGCATGGAGCTCATCTCCTCTGTCCTCTAACTCAGTGTTTTTCAACCTTTTTTGAGCCAAGGCACACTTTTTTCACTGAAAAAATCTTGCGGCACACCTCCAGGAGAAAACGTAAAAATGTATACAGTACTAATGTAAAAATATATACTGTACATACTCTGTGTGATATATAAAGTATATCTTATCTTATCTTATAATGTATACAGTATACTCTGTAGCCTATATTCACAATATACAGTTATTCTCATCAAAATGCTTAAGTCCAGGCCTTGACATTAAGCTTTATTTAATATTTCTCGATACAATTAACAAGAGTTTGGGAATAAAGTGGCACTAACTGTGTGGAAAAAAACTAAGAAAATCCACTCTCTGCCCAAATAGTCAAATAACTCACACAAAGAACATGCATTGTTAGTGCATGGGAAAAATTTAGGTATCCGAGCTTTAAATTCAGGAGTTTTGGATGAGGGACACGGGAGGTCCTGAACGCGAGTCCATGGTTCTGTCCGGTCCGCATGTCTATGGTTCTGTCCGGTCCGCATGTCTGTGGTTCTGTCCACTCGACTATGGTCTGCGCTCGGTACCCAGTTCAGAAGTGCGTTCGCGATTGTACATTTCATAGTTAAACCACTACAACGCGGCCACAGCTGCCCCGGGGCAGAGCGGAGGATGTTAATCCTGTTCAGAAACGGCATAATTCATTTTCAAAAACGTCTCTATCACTTTCACTTCTCACTCGCCACAAAGCTCTTGTCTCGCTCCCTCACACATTTGTTGGTCGCATCCAATTTTACCTTTCTCGCCACAATGCTGACCTGTAGCCAGTGGTCGCATCCAATTTTTCAGTTTCAAAGTACTTAGCTATCTGCTGCCATCTACTGATTTGAAAAAGTATTACATGGTTACTCCACAGTTCAAAACAAGTCACCGCTCGTCAACAGCGAATGCAGTTATTTTTAGACAAAGTAGACGAATTTCTCACGGCACACCAGACAATATCATACGGCACACTAGTGTGCCGCGGCACAGTGGTTGAAAAACACTGCTCTAACTGTCCGCTCCCATAGTCCTCTTCCATTGTGCCTCTATGCACTGCACTCAGATAGGAGCCACTGAAGGCCAATAACACTGTATGAACATCTCTCATGCCCCAGGACTCTTCCATCTCCTTTCTCTGCTCATAGTACTTTTGATTCTGCTCTCATTGACATCTGCTACATCTTTGTGATTCTCTATCTTCCCTGGATGTGCAGGACAGGAGAAGCCATCTTGATGTGAAGCTCTTGTCTGGTCTGCTTCTTTGGGTCTAAATGCTTTCTATTCTAATTGAAGTATTGTGTTAATGCTGCATCTTCTGGGGTCAAAAGAATTCCAAAGAAAATCATGTGTTATCAGGGTGTCCTCCCTAAATGGTCTGGTAATACTCACAGAAAGTGCTACAGCTGTGGAGGCTGTGGTAAGAAACAAGAAATCTGTTGAACGTGTCAATGACAGTTGTGACAGTTGATTTGTTTGTTTCAATCAAAGCTTCAGCTTGACTCTTTTCTCCCATATGCGTAGTAGCTTTTCTTAACATGTATTAACCTGGAGATAAACTATTTTCATCTTGAGCCTTATAGACCCGCTGTCTTGGGTCCTTTCTGATCAGTTGATTTTCTGCTTGGTCCAAACTAAACTTGTCCTTTGTGTCCGTTAGACTCTTCAGCAGTCTAGGGGAGCTCCACACCATCTCCCAGAGGAGCTACGGCACCACGTTCACCATCCGGCCTGGCAGTCGATACCCCATGACCCGCCGCACCCCCAGCCCGGGTTCCCCAGACAGGGACCCTCTGGGACGCTTCAGCGGATTCGGCCTGCCCGGCTCCCCCACATCTTCCCCACAGACCATCCTCAAGTCGTCTAGCCTCAGTCTGCCCCAGGAGCCCAAGGAGGTCCGCTTTGTGATGAGGAGCTCCAGTGCACGATCACGCTCTCGCTCTCGCTCCCCGTCCCCCTCCCCCTCTCACTCCCCCCGCATGGGCTCTCCCTTGTTGTCCCTGCGGCCTTTCCACCAGAAGCCCCTGCACCTGTGGAACAAATACGACGTGGGAGACTGGCTGGAGAGCATCCACCTGGGAGAGCACCGTGCAGGCTTCCAGGAGCACGAGATAGAGGGCTCCCACCTGCCTGCCCTCACCAAGGACGAATTTGCAGAGCTGGGCGTGACGCGGGTGGGACACCGCATGAACATAGAGCGCGCTCTGAAGCAGCTGCTGGAGAGCTGACAGCGGCCCTGACACTACAGAGCCAACAGTACGTTTACACACTATGGGCCACAGAGCAGAAGAGCAAAGGTGTGATAAAGTCTGCCTCAGGGTCCACTCAGCTGAAGGAACAGTCCCACCTCCTCTACCTCTGCCCTCTGGAGCCCCCTGGAGCCCTCTGGAGCACTCTGAGCCTTCTGGAGCCCTCTGGAGCCACCTGGAGCTCTCTGGAGCCACCTGGAGCTCTCTGGAGCCACCTGAAACCCTGTGCAGAGCGCAGCAGGAGCCAGGCCAAGCAGACGATCCGTTGCCTTTCCCATCGTTCTGCAGTGGAGCTATGTGGACTGTGGACCCGCCGCCTTGGACCCAGACTGTGCTAACAACTGGAGAATGTTTAACCAACACTCGTGGCTTTTTCATAATCACTTTTTTGGTTATCCAAAGGGAATATTATATATATAGGGATATAATATAAGATATATGTATGTTAATATAGCTTTCAAAAGAAGAACAATATTGCAAAGAAGACATATTATAAATTTACCTGCACCTGTTTTGAGGTTTTAGTATAGAAAGTGAAGAAAATTTATTCCACCAATACTTTACTCATTTCTACTAATTACTATATAATACATATATAAATATATATATTTGAAAGAAAAAATCTAGAGAATAATGTTTTCATAGAGGTCTGAGGTTCCTTAGATCACCTTTCCTTTAGCGTAGCATGAGGATCTGTTTCACGTGTTGGACCCAGCGTCGTTCGTCTTTCTTTTCTTACAGTCTTCCTTCACACTAAAGGGCATCCCGCAATGTGAGGCGTAGGACCGCGCAGCCCCCAGCCCCGCACTCGCACTCGCACACAGCAGGACCGCTTTGACTATATGCAAGACCTGACTTCGCACGAATAGTGTTTCTTTTCGATGTTAGACTTGTGCCAAATGAGACTTGAAGTGAACATGGAGTGTAAGGGCTTTGGGATGGGGGCGCCCGGTCCCCCCCAAAACACCACCCGAGTCCGGCCTCTGCGTTTATATCACAGACAGAGGCCTTTACACCGGGTTGTTGTAGAGACAAAACATCCATACGAAGACAAATGTTATCGGCACCAACTATTCTCTGGTGATTTCAGCCACTTTTTCTCGACTGTACAAGTTCTTTTTATTTTCAACGGGTTTTGTAAAGCAGGCGGTGATATAGAATTCAACAATATCTACGTTGAGAATAGCACTCACTGCCTGTTTGTTTTTGTTCTATTTATTATGATTCTGGTTCAGTTTTGGTGTCATGGCCTCTTTGGAACATCCGTCTTTCGTTTCCCGCCCTCGCACTGTGGGTACATTTTGTAGCGTGCGTGTGAAACATCAGAATCTTCACCTATTTATTTTCTAAAGGACAGAAAAAAAGAGAAAGAAAATACATTGTCCTTTCTAACTTGTAAAATGAGCAAATATATGTTTTTTTTTTCATAAGCAATGTAGATACAATAGATTTCATATAAATTTTTGGAAAAAGTATATAGATCTATATATATGAATGTTTGGCATATATGCATAGTTAACCACCTGAGGAAAGGTGAGAAAATTTTATTCTTTCTATGAACTCTTGAAACTTTTGGACTGAACTATGAACTAGGGGATGATTTGCACAAAAAACATGGTGACAAGGTGCTAACATAGAGCCACCCATCATCGAAGCGCAGGCGTGATCTGGATTCCTGTGTGTGCATGTGTGTGTGCATGTGTGTGTGTGTGTGTGTGTGTGTTTTTATGAATGGACCTGTAGTAGTGAACAGTCCACTAGAGCCTTACTATCATTGATCCGAGATTTCCGGCAGTGGCTGTGGATTCATTGACTAAATAAAATGCACATTATTTTTCATTGAGGATTTCTGTTGTGAGGCACAGGGCGGGGCTGGCACAGTTGAAATTCAGTGGTGGAATGTAACTTATGAAAGTTATAAGTACTGTACATGTCGGATCAATGTTGTATTTACAGTAGGTTAGACCTGGCTTAGGCCACAGGACCAGGGATAGACCTGGTTTAAACTGAGAAACACCAACATGGACCAATCAGCTGTGAGGGTATTGACATGTAATAAACTTTTGGGTCAGGACTTTAACAAATCAATTTAACATTTGATTTTGTATAAAGCTTTTAAGAGTTAACACAAGATATATATGTATCATAATGTTCAATCTCACTATGATACACTATATTCATTTAATTCATGCTTGTTACCAAACAGGGATTTGTACTCATTTTTCTCCAACTATAATATATTTCTTAATACCATTTCCTGTCTGATCTGTGCTGGGATTGGCCGAACCCTCACTGCCTGAGCTGTGCTGTGATTGGTTCAACAAGATTCTAACAACAAGAAAATGTTTTGCTACTCAGCTCAATAATACTCTGGAGACTTGAGTGATATCATACATATTGGCCTACTATCCCAGTACTTTTACTTTTATGAAGTATTACTTCCACCACTGCAGCAGGCCTAGTCCCGGTTTGGTCCACGGCTCCAGATGGCATTTGCGCTCCTCCTCCTCTTTCCTTTTTCAGACCTTCAGTTCGGGAGTTTGGGGCGAGTTCAACATTAAGGAAATAGTGCCAAAAATGACCTTACTTTAAACTCTTGCTTTGGGACTATCTTAGCGACAGCACTGAAGCTGTTAGACTCAATAACATGGTGCCATCTCCTGGAAATCTTGAGAACTGCAGACAATTTTATAGATATCCATTTTCTCCTGGTGGAAATGAAATTCCATTTATTTTACTTCACACTGCTCGTATTGTTGTTAAAAAGGTTTCCTCGAGATATTCAAGACAGTGTTTCCTTGTGGTAATCTTTGAGCACAATGATACAAGCCTGAGATCCTCCATGTGACTTTGCATTGTCCTGAAAGTGCATCTGACAGGTTACAATCCCCTCCAGGCTTTGTTCTTCTTTACTTCTGGGACAACAGAACATGTGGTAAACATCTGGATGAGAAAATGTGTTCAAAAAGAAAAAGTTCTTCAAAGGAATCCCTCCTCCAACGTCATCTTTAGTGTTGAGTAAAGTATTTGTTATAATACTGAATAACTGTATTCAAATGTGACATGGTCCCATCACAGAACTCTGCACTTTCAATACCTTCTTATTATCATGATAAACCCCACTTAGAAATAAAACGACTCTTTAATATGTGTCCCCAGAAAACAAGTCTCATGTACAAATCATGTTTGACCTTTTATGAACAAAAGTTTAAAATTCAGAGGTCCATAACATGTATTTAAGTTTTTCAATCTAATTGTCCAATCTGAGAGCTCATTTTGTTTGTCTATTTTTAGGTAACAAAATTAAAATAAAAGATAGCAGAACACATGTTGAATCAAAGTAAATACAACAAATGTGAGTCACAGGCAGAAAGATTCTGGCAACACATGTTTGATTGTAATGTTAATGACTTTATCAGACCAGGAAGCAAACTACACATTTCTTTTCCACTGTTTGCTCTGCATTTAGAAGTTTTCATGATGTTTCTGTTATTTTATTTTGTCCATTGACGCCTGAAAAAAGCCTTTGAAATGTCATGACCAAATACTTCTGATGGCTCCCAACATTGTCACTGGGTTACAAGAATGCCACACACATTTATGACATAATGTAATATTCCTACATTTCAAAACTTGACGAGCCTATTGACAATTAGGCAGGAGAACGTTTTTAAAGCTGGGGTCCTGGACTTTCAACCTCAAACTATTGAACTATGTAATAAAATCTATCTCAAAACAGATTGGTTCTATCACTAGTCGTCACAGGCATGTATTTGTGGCCTCCGTCACAGCTTTAGATCATCTTTTTTAGACGGAAAAGTGAAAATGTGGACCGCTTTCTCTCAGCTCTCAGCCTAAACGGTCAAATAGTGACTCCCACTGTTCTTACTTATAAGTATGCAAAATATTAACATAAGATGAAACCAGCATGCTGTTGTCTGCATTGTTTACAAATTTTAACAAGGCTTTTTCTGTTGGAACAAAAAGCTCATTATTCATCAAACAAAATACATTAGGTACCCCAGGTTTAAATACTGCCATTGGAAGTATATGAGTGTGTGAGTGTAATCTGTCACATGCACTAAAACCCATTTGCCTGATTGGTACTGTGATAAAGGGGAATCCCGCTACTTCTACTGTTCCCAAATGAAACCAAACCACAATCCAAAAGTCTGCGCTCACAGATGTACGCCAACTTGTGGGTGAAATCCGTTGGCTGCAACACGTTGTTTTCTAATCAACAAAGCACAATCTGCATTGTGTAAGGAGCAGTGTAACCTTTTTAACCCCAGCGGAGCCACAGCTCTTATCATGTTCGGCTTTTCTTTGGATTTCTTGTTGGTTTTCTCCTTGTTTGCACTGTGAAGTTTAGACATGGTGGATGTACTGCTGCAGCATCTCGGGCCTGCCCCACACCACGAGCCAAAATCAGGTCCAATCCTTTCACAGCTGACCCCCAACAGAGGACAACATGCTACCTACTGCTCCTCCTGCAGCCTGAGATGGTCCACTCTATGTCCACCACAGAGATATGTTTATTCTGTAATAAATTTATAATGAAAACACACGTCTTCAGGGTCCATTGTGCGTCTGTTGTGGTGTCTGCAGTGTTTTTAACCAATAGTCCAAATAGAAGAGGTGGGACTGGGACAGACAAGTCAAAAAAGCCCTATTTCCACCAGCCCTACTTAACCCTACTCCGATTGGGAGCGTTTCAACTGTCCTTATTTCCAGGTCAAGCTGGCACATAAGTGTTCCAACTGACAGTGATTGGTCGGATTGCTGCTGGAAGCCATGGTGAACCAAGGAGTTTCCATGGATACTGGTCTGTTTTGGGAAGGTTGCTGGGATACCGTACCACATCCTAAAGTGTAATGGAAACACACCCGAGTAGAGTAGAGCCAAGTAGGGCTGGCTTTAGTGTAGTGAGTTTTTTCAAGCTTTCATACAACTTGACAGAATATGGCTTGCGTTTATGCAATTTTGAGGATTTTTGTAAATGATTCTGCTTTTGCACAGGCCTCTCGTTTAGCTTAGTATTTTCACTGTAATTAAGTAGTTTTAATGGTATTGATATTTTTCTATGCATTTTTCAGACAAATTTTAACTTTTACGTCTCACTTTTTAACTCGTGTACTTTCAACTCCTTACATTTCAAAGTGAGTAGTTTAGTTGCAGAGGGCGACGTCATAAAAAACAGTGATTAATGGTTAATCATGCTTCTAAGCAAATTAATTGAGGTTAGCTATGCTTCTAAATTCTACACCTTCTGTCTGTCACATTCTCTGCCAGCATGAAGCTGTACTGCAGTGTGGCTCAGAGGTAAATAAGTAAAAGGTGGTTTTGGATCCCTGCTTTGTCTGCGACTACCCCAAAACTGATATTACTTATATCAGTTAAGCGTATAAAGAAGGATTTTCTACTTTCGGGTGGATCAAAACTATTCCTCCCAATTGTCAATCAGTCTGGTGATACATACTCGACAAATAAGAGTGTTTTGTTCAAAAAGTGAAGTGGGCAGTTCTTTCCTCAAACTTGGGTAAATCCTCCTTAACCTTTTCCCTTTTGAGAGTTGGGATGATCATCATGGACGTGGTTTCTATCATGATTTTTAACAGGACTGGGCCCCCAATAAGGAGTTACTATTTCATTTTCAGAAACACAAATGAAATAGTCTCTAAATCACTGACCAGATGCATTTGCCTTATGCAATAAAAAAAAGAAAAACCTAAATGTAAATATGTCACTGATTTGTTGGAAATTAAGGTTTTAGTTGAAATTAAACACACTTTTAAAGTCTGCTCAATTGAACTTTCCTCTTTTATATTACAAAACTTACTGAAGAACGACACATCCAGAGTCCAGACCACGATGTCTTTAATTCCGTCTACGAATAGCAGCAACAAATAATGTGGTTTATTACACATTCCGTCTAACAAACACTTCACATTTTGCTTTAGAAAAATAATAAAGACAAACATTATAAAAGAACGTTTACAAAGCGCCAGTTCAATGTTATGTTTTATAAATCTATTCACAGCACTGCGCCTGGAGAGACTTCACATGATACAAAAAGAATGTAAACGGGACATTAAACATTCACGTGTTTGAGGTTCTAATCGTCGGCTTCAGAGTCGTTCTCCGTTTTATCCAAGTCAAAGTTCTGCAAAACAAAAAGGACTTCAAAAATAATGTAAACAGATTATTGTTTTGTTTTTTTATTTTTTATTTGAGGAATAAATGTTACCTCCAGCTCTTGCAGCACTTCATCCATGAAGTCTGTGGGGTTTCGCTTGTATTCCACTGCGCGGCGCATCGTGTCGCGAAACATCTGCAAAACCGTGAGACGAACAAACTCACTTCAAAATCAAGTTTAAAACCTTCGATCGTTTGTTTTCGTTCACAAACATATAATTAGGTTTTTCAACTGTGAAGTGAAAGCAAAGTGCTACATGATTATGTTTTTTGAAAAACCAAAATATATAACCCCTTCTGAAACTAATTCTTTTGACGTATGACTCTACAGACTTTGCACATCGAGAGATCGAGGGTTTGCCCATTCCTTATCACAAAACGACTCAACTCCTGTCAGATTAAATATAGTATATATATATGAATATATATTATATATATATATATAAATAAATAAATAAATATATATATATATATATATATATATAAGTGCTGTCCAAAATATTGCGTTATTAACGCGTTAACGCAAATCAATATTAACGGCGTCATTTTTTTTATCGCGCGATAAAAAAAAAAAAAAAAACGTTTTCTTATTTATCAGACAAACATCCATCCATCCATCCATCTTCTACCCTTTAATCCATTTCTGGGTCAGGGGGGTGGCAGTCAGAGATGCCACCCAAGTCTCATAGCACCAGCCCCTCACTGACCCTCTGCAGGTGGTGAGTCCACAGGAGGACGGCTGCTCTCTGAGTGTGAGCATAGCCTTGATCTTTCAGTGGGGGCTTTGGGCAAAGTGGGGTTAAGTGTCTTGCCCAAGGACACAACGACAGCAGTCATCAGTGGGAGTCGATGGAGAAGGTGCAGAGGTGGGAATTGAACCCACGACCTTCAGGCCTTAAGGCCAATGCTCTACCAACTGAGCTACTGTCGCCCTGTTATCAGACAAACACAAATACAGAAAAAAAAATAGAAACAAAGAAAAGGACTAGTTCAGATACATTGTAGACAGAGACTACAAACAATATGTAGTTGGAGATACAGGGGGCCAAAGAAGAAACCCAGGAGGGGCACATAGGAGGGGGGGGGGGGGGGGGGACATGAAGTGGGAGATGGGGGGGAGGGGTTAATAAAAAAGGCAATACAAGCAAACAGTATACAGTCATAGATATACCGAAAGTAAACAGAGAAAAAGCATAGAGTATTTACATGAACAAATTTACAAAATATTTACAGATTGTTTATCATCATCATAATGACATCATGATGTTTCTATACAGTCTATGGTCTATACCCACACATACACACACACTCCACACACACACACACACACATACACCCCACAGATAAGATAAGATATAAAGTCTGCCCGCCTGAGTTTCACCAAGCTAAGCGGAACCCAGCCAACATCAAAACCAAATCCAACACACACACAGACCCCCAAGCAGGCCCCCACCCCAAAAAGGGGGGGGAGGGAGCCCACGCCCGGCCCATTCCCTCTCTTATTTTGTTCCTTTTTCCCAAGTGTTTTTCTTAACTAAACGTGTCATGCATTAAAATAAGCTTTCGCTTACCCTGACTTGTGTATTATCATTATATTCACATATGCACATATTATTCATGTTATTATTATTATATTTATCTACTTATTCATTCATTTTTTATTTTATTTTATTATTATTAATTTTATTTTATTATTTTTATTTTATTTTTATTAATTCAAGGGACATAAAGAATAGATACAAATGCGTGACTAATTTGCGATTAATCGAGAGTTAACTATGAAATTCATGCGATTAATCGCGATTAAATATTTTAATCATTGGACAGCACTAATTATATATATATATATATATATATATATATATATATATATATATATATATATATATATATATATATTATATATATATGTATATATATATATATATATATAGAGAGAGAGCGTTTGTGAACAGTGGACTTTGATTGGTCCAGTCTGACACATGAATATGTTTGTTTATGTTTCAGGATATTGTCCTGTTTGTTTGAAAAACTCCAACATCTTCATGTTTTCGGTCACGAACATGATCAAATGTGCAAAGGTTCTAGTCTGACCAAGAAGAACCACACAATTTCAAAATGATCTTTTATAATGAGGACGACCAAGCAGCAGAATCACAGTCCTGAGAAGATGAGAATTCATCTTTTTGGTCACAAAGGTTCATGTTGTATTGGCACTATAATATACTACAGTACTGTATCTATACTACAGCATAGAATCTATACTATACTGCATACTCCTGTATGTGAGGGTTCTGAGAGTTATTTTCAAACCTTGACCACGTTGGTCCCGTCCGCGGCCGACACGTAGTAAGAAGGGAGGTCGTGTTTCTTTCCAAAGTTAAATGTTCGCTGAGTCGCCTTCATGTCGGCTGAAAAGACAAAAATGGAAAACCTTTGAGTTTCTAATAATCATTAAGAAAATTGTAAACCTGTCTATCTGAGATTTCTCTGATATGTATTTATTAAGTATAAGTATAAGTATTAAATTTGAAAAACACCACACATGAACTGTTACATGCACTTATTTTAATATATTTAATTTTTTACTATTTCTTGTCAGAGATCTACACATTGCAGAAAGAAACATGAGACTGAAGATTTTAAGATAAATAAACGGAAGATAAATGATGTGAGAGCCTTAGGTACAATTATTATTTACTGAATCCTATTGTATCAAATAGTAAAGTCCCTTGTACTGAGGTAGGTATGATCCCGCTCTGAAAGCTCTCCAGCTCGAGTGTGACATCAGATGTGTGACACTGTAAAGACAGATGCTCAGCTCTGTCGCCTCACCATCGATCTTATTGGCCACCACGCAGCAGGGGATCTCTGGTCTGTACTCGCGCAGCTCCTTGTACCACGTGCTGAGGTTTTTGTACGTGATCTTTCTTTGGACGTCGAAAACCTGCAAAGAGTACACAGCAAACTGATCACAAGTTCACCATGACATGTCAGAGGCGTTCGGGATCGCAGCGGCCTCACCATGATGCAGGCGTGGGCTTTGTGGTAGTAGGACGGGTGCATGCTCTGGAAGCGCTCCTGTCCCGCCGTGTCCCAGAAATCTGTGCAAGAGAGTGTAAAAAGTGACAATAAATCATTCTAGAGGAAAAGTAGTAGCAGTAGAAAGAATATGAGCCCAAATACTTATATTAGCAGTTGATTAATAACTGCTGAAATATTCCAACATGCATCAGTCGGCTTAGAGCAGGGCGATATATGGGAAAGCTTATTTTTATTATGTTATAATGGGACCATTTGCAGTACATAATTAAAAGCTGTTTGAGATTATGAATTTATTGGTTTTCCATTTAAACTGGAGGATTTTGAAGTCTCACAAGACATCAAATATGTGTTGAAAGCTCTGGAAAGTGGAGGAATCTGGACCAATTAGCAAAAACAAAAAAAATGCATTAAAAAGATACATCAGCAGAACAGAATCTTTCTCAGTTCCAATAAAGCCCTGGCTAAAAGATAAGTACACAAAATATACCAAAATAGTCATACCAAACATGAAGCCAATACATTTTAGCATCGAGCAAATCCATTCTTAAACCTGTTCAGGCCTGGAGTCAGAAGTGTATTCTCTAAACAACCTTTACTTTGATTAGATTAGAGATTAGCTCACTTTACCCCAATATTTAAACTAACACCAGTGCACCACAAATATACTGCTATTCATAAATTATATACAGTATGTTCCAGCGTTTACTCGAGTCAATGTGTTTGGTTACTCTTTTCCACTGTGAGAAATGGTGAAGAAACTTTTATATTTTATCACAAAACAAGAGATGCCGTATTTCAGGTATGACAAAAATATGTAAATGTTTTTTGCAGACGACCTAAGTGTAAGTAAGGCAGGCGTGAGACGTGAGAGCGGGGAGGACACTCACCTACAACCACAGTCTTACTCCCCACAGTGGCTTTGTGCTTGTACAGCGTCAGGGCGTAAGTGGACAGCTGCTGAGGCCGACTGCAGCACGGGTTGAGGAAAAGCCTTTGGAGAGGATTATTTTGACTGGACATACAACTACAGGTAACAGCTTTGAAAACAGCAGGTAAACAATTATTATCAACGACTAAATATTTCTCACCATATTTATTATTGTCCAAACAAGTTCCAAATATCCATATTAGACATAATACCAGTGGTGGAAAGCACAATTCTTACTCAAGTTGTATGTAGTACATTACAGCACAATTAAATTAAGATGGTTTAAACTATTTACAAGTAATTTTGTCTTGCAAATTGTTTAAGCCAGCCTTTTAAGTGTTTTTAAATGCTGCTGAAAAGATTCTTTAAAAGTACTCTTTCAGGGTAGTGTTGGGTCAAATTGACTATCTTTTAGGACTTGTTTGTGGGAAATGTTCTAACATATAATATATCAACAGGGCAACTAGTTATACACAACCTTCTTGTCCTTTTATATAGACGTATATTTTTGGAGTATTTCTGTTCGCTGCAACATTGACATTTCCCCTACTCTTATCTTATGATTGGCAAACTTGACATTGGTTCAACTAGAGCAGTGCTGTGGTGAATGTTTCTATTTCTATTTCCATGTTAGGAATCCACTTTACAGGCAAGATAACACTACAGTGGTTTATCTATATTTGATAAGGATACTACTCGTCCAGAAGAAATCGTTCCATGAGCCTGGATGAAAACACAGATGATTAAAACACTTTTGAAATTGCCAAAGATTGCAGTATATACTAGACAGGAGTAACTCACTTGGACTTGCCCACTGCGCTATCTCCGAGGCAGATGATCTTCACCGCTTCTGCTGCATCATATTTGCCCGGGTCCAGATCGGGGTGACCGCTGCTGTCCTCTCGAGCCATTTCAACCAGATCCGCGTTTTAGAATGAAACTGGTGTGTCGCTGTTTTTGACGTGGGCAGGAATCATAGGAATTAGCAAACTAGCCGGTTAGCCGAGGTTTTAGAGCGACGTAATGAATGAAAACAGCGCATATTTCTGTTGTCTACGCCTCAGTCATGGTTAAAACAACACAGACATGCTGCTAATGCTTAGATATGTTTTACATGTCTATTTTTGGACACGTGTTGGTCCCAAACACAGATGAAAGATAATGCTAATGCTAATGCTAGCGCTGGCAGATAGTCCACGTTAAACCACTGCTGCCTGGATTACATCGTTAAAGACACCGTCGACTAATGCCGCGTTCATTCAAAAGTCTCGGGATATCTGTGACAAATGGCACGTGTATAAAATATTGATATCGCAGCTGGGTAACAGCCACAACATCTGAACACAACAACGCAAACACATTACGACACGGTTATTCTGGTTTCCACGCAACGGGCTTCCTCTGTGGGGCTGGGGGCGCGGTGTGAGGAGGGAGACACCTGCTGGGGCCTAGTGGGTACTGCAGCTACTAAAGTATGTATGTGCAACATGTACAGTACACCCTGGCTCAAATGGATAAATTCATTCATTCGTTCATTCATTCATTCATTTTCTACCCCTTTTATTAGTCAATTTCTGGGTCAGTATTATGAGTTGAGAAAAATTGTTTATTGTGGACTCGACTAAATATTTGGGTGATGAGCTTGACAGGACAGGATCGAGGGAATTTTACTGCCAAGTTATTCATCGTTTAATGTTTGGTATTTCCTTTAATAATAGTTTAACTGAATATGGTGTTAATAATTTTATATTGCAAGCTAAACATTACATTCATAAGTGGCGTTTTTTTATAACCATCCCGAACCACACTCATTGGAGAAATGAGTTAAACTATTCTATACTTCAATCAATCTCATAAAATCTAAAAATGCTACTAAACTTCTATCATTTATTGGTACATGCCCTTTACATTTACAGATGACAAATCTAAATGAATGCCCTTGTTTTTGTTTTATTTTTTATTTTGTCTTTTTTGTATTTGTATATATTGATCGTTATATGTATTTTCCATCCATCCATCCATTTTCTTCCCCATAATCCATTTCTGGGTCGGGGGGTGGCAGTCAGAGCTGCAGCCAGTACACTTAGCACCAGCCCCTCACTGATCCTCCTGCAGGTGGTGAGTCCACAGGAGCCTTGATCTTTCAGAGGGGGGCTTCAGGCAAAGTGGGGTTAAGTGTCTTGCCCAAGGACACATCGACAGCAGTCATCAGTGGGAGTCGTGAGGTGCACGCCTGGTGGATCTTATAAATCCAACTCAATAATTCTATGACCTTTACATACCTGTTTGTACACAAATTTACGTGACTGCATTTTCTGTGGTATCATTTGGCCTTTTATATGAAAATTAAAGTGAGAGAAATGTGCTTTATATATATATATATATATATATATATATATATATATATATATATATATATATATATATATATATATATATATATATATATATATATATATATATATATATATATATATATATATATATATATATAAAAAAATTGTCCACTCACCTTTGGCCCTCCGCGGGCGGTTATCCCTCTCTAAGCTCGGGTCCTCTACCAGAGGCCTGGGAGCTTGAGGGTTCTGCGCAGTATCTTTGCTGTTCCTTGCACTGCACATTTCTGGACCGAGATGTCCGAGGTTGTTCCGGGGATCCGCTGTAACCACTCATCTAGCTTCGGGGTCACTGCCCCGAGTGCACCGATCACCACGGGCACTACTGTCACCTTTACCCTCCAGGCCCTCTCCAGCTCCTCTCTGAGACCTTGGTATTTATATATATATATATATATATATATATATGCAATGAAAAGACCAATGAAAAGACCAGTACCCAGAAAGTACAGCCAGATGACCATACCTGAAGCACTCGAAACTGCCAAACAAAGGCTCCAAGCCCTGGCCAGCCGCCTACAGAGGTACACTAAAGAGAATGAAGCCAGAAGGGTGAACAGGCTGTTCGCAACACAACCTGCGAAGGTGTACGCTCAGTGGCAGGGTAACAACAGGGGAGCAGACCCACCGAGGCTGGAAACTGAACAGTTCTGGAAGAACATATGGGAGAAGGATGCAGCACATAACAGAAGTGCACAATGGCTGGGGTCCCTGAGAGAGGAGCACAGCCACCTCCCAGAACAGAACTCAGTTACCATCACAGAGGCAGACATCCGAGAAAGAGTCTCAGGTATGAAAAACTGGACAGCACCTGGCCCTGATATGGTCCATGCCTACTGGCTAAGGACACTCACATCACTCCATGAGCGCCTAGCAGCACAAATGAACCAGCTGCTGAGAGATGGGACTCACCCAGAATGGCTAACCGAAGGGCGAACGGTCCTGATCATGAAGGACCCTGTCAAGGGTGCAGTCCCCTCCAACTACCGGCCAATAACCTGTCTCTCCACAACATGGAAGCTCATGTCAGGCATCATTGCGGCTAAGATAAGTGGGCATATGGAACAATTCATGAGCACAGCACAGAAGGGCATTGGTAGGGACACCAGAGGAGCCAAACACCAGCTCCTGGTTGACAGAACAGTCGCCCAAGACTGCCGGTCACGACACACCAACCTGTGCACAGCCTGGATTGATTACCAGAAAGCCTACGACTCAATGCCACACACATGGATCATGGAATGCTTGAAGTTGTACAATATCAACAGGGCTCTAAGGGACTTCGTTGCAAACTCGATGGGAATGTGGAAGACCACCCTTGAGGCAAATGGCAAGCCGCTCGCACAAGTGACCATCAAATGTGGTATCTACCAAGGAGATGCTCTGTCCCCACTACTGTTCTGCATAGGCCTCAACCCTCTAAGCCAAGTAATTGACCAGACTGGCTATGGATACCGCCTCAGGAACGGAGCAAAGATCAGTCACCTCCTCTACATGGATGACATCAAGCTGTACGCCAAGAGCGAGAGAGACATCGACTCTCTGATCCAAACAACCAGGATCTACAGCCATGACATCGGGATGTCATTCGGGCTCGAGAAATGTAGCAGGATGGTGACTCGGAGAGGCAAGGTAGTCCACACAGAAGGGATCTCACTCCCAGAGGGAACAATAGCAGACGTTGAGGACAGTTACAAGTATCTCGGTATACCACAGGCAAATGGCAACCTCGAACAGGTGACGAGGAAAGCGGCAACTGCCAAATACCTCCAGCGAGTAAGGCAGGTCCTAAGAAGCCGGCTCAATGGCAAGAACAAGGCCCGGGCAATTAACAGCTACGCCCTGCCAGTGATCAGATACCCTGCAGGAATAATCAGGTGGCCAAAGGAAGAGATTCAGACCACGGATGTTAAAACTCGAAAGCTCCTTACCATGCATGGCGGGTTCCATCCCAAATCCAGCACCCTGAGACTGTACGTAAGCCGTAAAGAAGGAGGCCGAGGACTAGTGAGTGTGAGAGCCACTGTCCAGGACGAAACATCCAAACTCCATAACTACATCATGGAGAAGGCCAAAACGGATGACGTACTCAGTGAATGTCTCAGGCAGTGGCGAGATGAGGAGGTGCTGGAGGAGAGCCCATCATGGGAGAACAAGCCCCTACACGGCATGTACCACCGGAGCATAACAGAAGTGGCTGATCTCAAGAAGTCCTACCAATGGCTAGAAAGGGCTGGCCTACAGGACAGCACAGAGGCACTCATCATGGCTGCACAGGAACAGGCACTGAGCACCAGAGCGATAGAGGCCCAGATATACCACACCAGACAAGACCCAAGGTGTCGGTTGTGCAAAGAGGCACCTGAGACGATCCAACACATAACTGCAGGGTGCAAGATGCTGGCAGGGAAGGCCTACATGGAACGCCATAACCAAGTGGCTGGCATAGTGTACAGAAACATCTGTGGAGAGTATGGGCTGGAAACCCCAAGGTCTAAGTGGGAAACTCCTCCAAAGGTGGTGGAAAATGAGCGTGCGAAGATCCTGTGGGACTTCCAGATACAGACCGACCGAATGGTAATGGCAAACCAACCTGACATCGTGGTGGTAGACAAAGGGCAGAGGACAGCCGTGGTGGTGGACGTGGCAATTCCAAGCGATGGTAACATCCGGAAAAAAGAACATGAAAAGCTTGAGAAATACCAAGGTCTCAGAGAGGAGCTGGAGAGGGCCTGGAGGGTAAAGGTGACAGTAGTGCCCGTGGTGATCGGTGCACTCGGGGCAGTGACCCCGAAGCTAGATGAGTGGTTACAGCGGATCCCCGGAACAACCTCGGACATCTCGGTCCAGAAATGTGCAGTGCTAGGAACAGCAAAGATACTGCGCAGAACCCTCAAGCTCCCTGGCCTCTGGTAGAGGACCCGAGCTTAGAGAGGGATAACCGCCCGCGGAGGGCCAAAGGTGAATGGACAATTTTTTTTTTATATATATATATATATATATATATATATATATATATATATATATATATATATATATATATATATATATAAAAGATTCAATAATTTCTATCTGCAAAAGGAGTTAACCCCTCCCACCTGTAAACGGAGCTCAATGGAGCGCCTCCAAACCTTAGTACGAAATGTAATTTGTACTATGGTGTGGTGCGACCAGGCTATGTAGATCCAGGAGTGACTTCCAGGCGGAGAAAGGGGGGTGAAGGTCTTTGCTACTAAGAATCACTGATTTGAAGACATTTCTGACAATTCAAGTTCTTAAAATAATACAAATGAATAAAGGCTATTCTAAAGAAAACTTTTGTGGGTTAGGGTTGAACACATGGCAAATGGATAATAATCATAATAGTATTCACAGTATTATTGGAACTATTTGAAATGTAAGGTTTTTCACCGTTAAATGGATTTAAAACACATCTTTGTTGTTTTTGTCTTTCAGAGCCGTATCCACAGGCGTCAACACGGTGAGTCTCAACTACACAATTTTCATTGAAGGTT